GGACGAGCGGAGTGTGCCTGCGCCGCCGAACGGACGCGGGAGGCGTGAATGCTGGAGGGCAGCGACGCGAAGACTGAAACGGTGCAGGGGCTCCTCCTCCCTTCCCCTTAGACCGTTCCAGCGTCCGATGGTGGGGGAACCTGCCTCGACAACCTAGCCGACCGTGTACCAGTGTGCCGAACGAGGAGAAAAACACTGCCGGCGCGGATCGAACGAAGAACCCTGCAGTCGTCTATGGGCACCCTTCCCCGGCCTCCACCGGGCGATAATGAGCGCTCGTAGTTCGGATTGGCGTTCCGGCGCCAATCCGAGCGGCGTTGCTCTCGACGCCTTTTCCGACGCTCGCCGTCTCTCTTTCGCTCCAAACGTCTCCCCTCTGTCTCTCTTATCCCCTCTCTGCGATTCACTCGTGCACACCGCTTCGAACGCTCTTCCTCGTTCTCTCCCGCGTCTTGTACCCCCCACCAGCGCGCGTTTAAGGGTGTTAACCGCGAGTACGCCCATTAACACCACCCTCTCCGCGACTCTCGATTCCAAGGGCGGGGGTTTCGTGGGAGAGGGAGACGTCGCGATCGACGTTGCTCGAAGCTTCGCTGTCGAGAACGCGGCCGATCGACACGCTGGATTTTCACGGTGTTTGCGGCCGGACTAAACGCGAACCGGTGTCGCTTTTCTGTCCGAAGGTGCCCGAAACGAGGTGTTTAAGGCCGAGATTTTTTTCCGTGTCGCTGCACTTGCCAGATGTCCGTTAATCTATGATTGCTCCTTTTCGATTTCGATTTTTTATCGTGCCACGGCTAGAGCGCAACGATTTTATCGCGTTCCGGGTACATCGGAATTTTCTACGTTTCACGAATGCCATGCTCCGTTTCCGTTCCCTCGTTCGAACGACAGACGACTGGCTCGTGTGCCGGAGTAATTCTGTACTTCAAAGTACCCGTAAATAGAGAGAGCGCTTTGTTTCGATTTTTTGTTTTTAACGTGTCCATGGTCGCGGATCGTGTCGCGCGGTTAAAGCGGTCGAGGAAATCCTTGGTCAGGGCGCAACGCGCGTTCCGTTCGGCATCGTCGGCCGGTTTTCTCTGTTAATCCGGAACGGCACTTCATCGGTCATAATTCAAGCCGATTGGCCGTGTCGAGAGCCGTCCAAGTTTTCCGCGAAAAGCCGAGTGAGAAATTTTCGCGAGCTGTGCCAAAATTCGCGCTAGCCAGCGTCACGAACATCGTCCCGCACTCCTCCCCTCCTACTCCCCGACCCGACACGAGCCTCGTTCAAATTGCCTTGCGCCGTGTACCGCAAAACCGCCGACGTAGGAGAAACCGTTGGCTCCGCCCACCGTATCCCCACCGCTCGGACCGCTCTCCCGCCGCTCCCCACCCAC